GCTAGGATCAGATAGAAGGGGAGGAATACCTCACCTGTCAGTGGACTAGGGGAGAGGCATGGGGGAGAAGAGGGAAAGAGGGTGGGATTGGGAGGAGATGAGGGAGGGGGACACAGCCAGGATAAAAAGTGAATAAATTTTAATAAATGGTAATATTTTTTTAAAATTTTAAAAAATGAGTATGTATGTGAATAGAAATATCCTATATGAAAAACATCAAAAACTAGAAATCAAACCCATGTTTATCTTATTTTCATCTAGAAGTTTCTATGTTATCATTTCTATGTCATCTACCTGGGATAGGGACTTCAGATAGAGTCACCAGAGAGAATTCCAAAGTAAATAATGCATGTTTAAATCTCTTGTTCGGTATTTAAATATTAAGCCATTTTTTTTTTAGCACTGAGGAAAATTAAATTTATTTGTAATATGCAAAGACCTGAGTATTACAAAGAAGTTGTTTTAACCCGGCTGTTAGTACCTGTCTCTTTGGGCCTCCATCTCATCTTATAATTGGTATATGCTTATTATCACATGCTCCAATGACTACTTAACCACCCTGGTAATAATGTGGCCAATTCTGGAGTCATCTGACCTACTAGTGTGACTTCCGTGACCAGACAAGTTTCCATTTCCCAGCGCAGGAGAACCAAGACAGGACCCATAGCAACTACCACTTTAACCCCAAAGTTTCAGTGAGCTCACAGATGTGGGTGGGCTGGCCGGTACTGCTTCCGGGTTGCTGCCTTCTTCACACTCCCCTTGACTCCGTATGTGCGTATTAGTCTGACGCATCCTAGAAAAGAAGAGATGTTTCAATGGTGGGGAAATACTCAGATACAGTGAGAAATATTACAGATGTGGGTAATATCTGAGTGCTAAACCTAACTGAAATTAGTGTAAAAGTGTAGGACATCCACTGAGCCATTTTCCGGGTAGTGTGATCTTGCCTTAGTCTTTCTTCTGCTCAGAACTTATCTTGTAGCTCTGAGCATATTTCATCACATTTCAACGAAGATAGAGTCACTAGCTTCTAATACAAAATCTTTCACAAATTGTAATTTCATTTAGAGAGTGTGTGTGCATATGTGTGTGTGTGTCTCTCTGTGTGAGTGTGTGTGTATGTGTCCATGACTGTGTGTATGAACACTAGCACTCATGTAGCATGACACAAATGTAGATGTCAGAGGACAACTTTTAGGAACCAATTCGCTGCTTTCACTGTGGATTCTGGGGATTGAATTTAGGTAGAAAGGCAGGAAAAGCCAACTTCCTCACCTGCTGAACTATCTCACCAGCCCGCGTGACTTTTTCTGTAGATGGGGAAATTAGATCCCAGAGAGTTTGACTATATCAGGTATCTATAATGTAACTTTAGCGATAGATAATAGAATAAAATACAATAATCCAGGTTTATTTCTAGAGCCTGAAATGATATTTGAGAAATTTTATGACCTTTCACTTAAAAAAAAAGTTGTAAAGGTGGATCCCACCTCTTATCTATCACCCATGTCTTAAAACAATAACATGAATCTACATCAAGTTATGAAAACTTGATGATGAAATGGGAAAATACCTTATCACCATGCTGTAGCTACAGGTTCAAAGGCATGTAAGTACACGGTTAACAGTTCACACTTTTAATTATGAAGCATTGCTACTGTACTTCCAAGGAAAATTGGTTACAGGGAGTCTGAGAGAAAATGAGTGATGTGTACAAGGGATAACAAGAAGTTACTGCAAAATCACTATTTGAGAAGAAACTCCATAAAGCCAAAACAATCAATGAAAAAATTAAATAGCTCTTTGTACTTAACTAATGCTTTCATATAAAAGTCACTGAGACTCCAGGGAATGAGATAATTGCCCAAGATATACAGACAGTAATAAAGCTGAGAACAGACATCATATATGCCATTTGTCCTAGTATATTTTCTTTTGTACAGCACGAGTTCCATCAAGAGGAAGGCTTAAAGAAGATAGGAAACCAACAACTGTCTTTCAGTCATTGTAGATATTGGTAGACACTGTAGGTGGTACAGACACCATAAGTCTGTTGGTTCTGAACTGCTTTCTCCTCCTATTTTACATATAGATGATGGTCACATTCTCATGAATCTACTGGAGCCTGCACAGGCTTATAGAGATATTATTCAATCATTATGATCTCATCACTACCCTTTTCTTCTACTACTCTACAGTATAAAGTAATGGAAACATACAATTATATTAAAGGGACACTGTTCAATAGTTTTGTTTTAAACATAAGAAAGATTAACTCACAGATTTTGGATTTGGGGCTGGCAATTAATAGATAATTAAAATAGATGTAGTTAGTTTCAGTGTGTGACTGTAGGCAACATTACAGCTGGAAATCTCCACACTGCAGGATAAGATGATGCAGTGAGGATACTCACAGATTTTCATGACAGAGCAAACAAGGGTTGGCATATGTTTGGCCATCATCTCCACAGACAGGCTGTAAATTCTTTGGGCAAAGATAACCCATCCTGGGCAATATTCGGTAGTGTTTGCACATATCAGCATCCTGTACAGGTAAAGTAGAGAACAGAGTTGCTTAAGAACTTTCAAGGGGGCTTATAGGATTAGAGAACCTTTGGTTTTCCTAATCTCATCTGAGTTGATGACTGAAAACAGGGCTGTGATATATATTTTTCAAATGCACATATTAATTCACATCATATTCGGTGGACATAACTTCTTGCTTTGGCTTCTTTTAACCAGAGAGTATTAGTATGCAAAAAGAAACCAAGAATGAAGCAGGAGGGAAGAGTAACAATATGGGACTTAGTAAGCTGGGACATGGTTCTAGGAAGGGTTCTGGAGTAATAGTCATGCTTTAAAAGTAAAACAACATTCACTTTTAAAGAATGAATTCCCTTCACAATGAACTTTTGTGTGGGCCTGCCACAGTAAGATACTGATCACTCTAAGAGATGAGATTCCAGTCTCAAAGAATTAGGCCATACTTTCCCTGCTAGCTCTGGTCTCTACCTCCTCAGGAGCTACTCTGCTCTTTATCTTCTCTGATAGCAAAAGAAATATGTTAAAAAAAAGTGCTTCTTTATTACTGCCACAATCCCTCCTAAGCATATGGCAGAGATTTGTAAACAAATGCTCTCATTGTGTCACTCCAAGCAAACAACTCTGATGCCTCCTTCTGTGGCTGGCATTGAGCTACAGCCAGGCTCCCCTAACCCCTAAAAGACAAAGAACAGCCTGAGAAATCCCAGAGAGAAGCTTCTTACCAGAGAGGCGGTGGAAAACTGTGGACCATTCTCTTCTTTGATAGACGTAATTTGTGACGGTGTTTCTTGAAGCCCTGACCTTTCCAAAGCTTCTTTTTCACTAGAAGAAAGAAAGATAATATTTAAAAAGAATTTTCACAATTATTAACCTCTGCAACTTCTCATAGAAAGATAGACAGTCCTAAGAAAAGATGAGGGAACATTCCACATCATTCTGGATATGACCACAAAGAGAAGTTTTAAAAACACACAAAGGTGGCTGAGTGACACAGATAATCCATCCCTACCTCAAAGAACATTCTCTATGAAAAACTAAGGCACATTGGTGTTGTCTTCATGAGTACTTTTCAGCATCACAATGTCCACTCATCTTAAAATGTGTTCACTCATCAGTCAAATCATTCAGCCTTTGAGTTCCCTGTTTAATGTGTCATAAAGTACAAAGCTTACTATCTTTTAATGACTTTGCTTTTGGCTCTCACCTAGTTTTTTGGATCCGGGATTTGGAATGGGTACCCTGGTAAGAACACATACCTTCATTTCCTGTCTCCGAACCCAAGCACTCTTTCTGCTGCATCAAGTGGTCTTAACTTGTGGTTTTTGGCCATATTTTTAAAAATTTACTTGGACTCAGGAGCATGTTACATTATTCATTCAGCAATGTATACTCACAGGAAACCACTGCACATCTGGCACTTCTTCAGGTAAAAGATTCCATCAGCACCACGCCCTGGGTCACGCTCTGGGTCACAGAAAAGCTTGCCGTTTCTCATAAGATTTCGAAACTCACTGCACTCATCCTACAAAATGAGAAAGAGGAGGTGAGCATGGGCCTTCCCTTTGTCAATGGGTGCTTTTCTCTGACTCAGCTGTAGGAGACATCCTGTGACTCGGGGCTGGTACTCACTTCACTGTCCCCAGCAGCAGAGGACAAAGAATTCCTGGCCTGCCTGGGCTTTGCCTCTTCTGCTCTGTTGTGAACTTCTCCACACTAGTAGTGAAAGGTAGGGAAGCATAAGAAATTACTTGATAGACACTCCTCACCTCCATCTATTTCACCCATCCACCATCCCTCCTCTCTCATTTTCACACTTTTAAGCCAAAGGGAATCTCAAAGAACTCTGTGCTAAGATTGTGACAGTCACTGTGAAATGACCAAATGAAGATACTTCTCTTTAATCTTGAGAAGCAAAGAGATAAAAGTATTATAATACATCGATACCATTGATTCACAGACATCAAGAAAAATCATCTGGAGAAAACAGAAGAAGACATCACAGACAAGCTGACCAGAAGGCTTGAGATGTCTGTTAGATGAATCATTTAAAGCCAACATCATCAAGCTACCTAAAGCCTATTTTTGCATTGAAAGTGTCAAAGAAAAGCATGCAGTTGAGGTGAAAGAAAGCTGTGTCCCCTGGCTTTCCAATCCACAGTTCTGCTAAAACGGAAAGACTATAATTGACATATACTATAGCAGAATCCTCTTAAAGATTAGCTCTGCCATATATATATATATATATATATATATATATATATATATATATATATATAAATGGCTACATATATGTGTGTATATGTGTGTGTTGATATATCTTGTATTATGACAGAAAGTGAGATTGTTGACAAAATAAAAATTTTGAGTAAAATGTTAGTATCTTTCTTATTTAAAGACTACATAGAAAGGTAAAATTCTGAGAGTGAGTGGTAAGGCCAATATTTTGGTCTCTGTTAAAACACAACCTTTTCATCATTTGCAGGCTGGGAATGTGAGTTTTCTTCATCCCTCATTTTTCTTTCACTAGCTTCTCTCTCACTGTGGAATAAAAAAAAACAATACAGTAATATTTCTAAGATTATATGGAATTATCGTTAACCAAGCAGTTTTCTAATATTAAACATTAATAAATCTAACACTATTGTCTCAAGCCTTAAAAACATCTAGACATACATTTTTTTCAGTGGTCTCAGATGGCTGGATTTTCATATTATATTGTGGCAACCTACTCAACATTTACCGATTCTGTTGTTTTACTCTTATCCAAAATCAAAGGATTCTAAGGGGTGGTTGCCTCATAAGAGAATATGCTTATTTTACTCTCTTATCTGGACAATAGCTTCCTTTCTCCTTTTTTAAAAAAAATACATTTACAGCTCCATTCTATTTAAACTAAGATTTTTGTTTGTTCTTCACATAGTTATAACACTTCAAAGTTTACCAACAGCTTAGAAAATGCTGTATCTTTGACTCTCCACCAAAACTGTACGTATGATGTAGTTCATGAACTGCAGGTCTGTGAAATACACAGTGCCTAAGTTTTTTTGTTTGTTTGTTTGTTTGTTTTGTAAGATCCTGACTCCTAAATGTATCACAATTATTTCCCACCTTAGGAGTCTCAGGTGCAATTATGCTTCTTTTCATCGAGAAGGATAATTTCTCATTGGGTGCTTTGAAAACTAACTGTACTTTTCACAAAAGAATAAGTATTTATTTATAATGCATGAACGCAAATGTCATGTTTCTAAATGACAGAAATTCTTTTCTGGAGGACAAGCAGGATTTATCAAAGTCATCGATAAGCCTCTCCACTTACAAAATGGTCTGACACATGGCACACTTGTTAACATGCGTCTTGCCGTCTGGGCCTCGAATGGGATCATTTTCTCTGGTGCAGATCAGCCTTCCGTCTAGCTGCATGCTCCGGAACTCATGGCATTGGTCCTGACAAGAGGACAGGCACACACGTATTACTACTGCAGACGAACATTTATCACCAGAAAGCAGCAGGAAAGTTAGACAGGAAGAAGCATTCAGCCTGCCTTACACATTTACCACCTGACAGCACCATAGTGATTAGGCATGGAGTCGTAATACTTTGAGGAAAATAGAGAAAATGAGATTTCAGAGATGGCCATTGATTTAAACGTACTTTGTTCAGTCTGTCTTCTCCGGTAGAATTCTCTTGCTGCCTAAAACAGCTCATCTCACTTGTACAAATTTTCTGCAAAACTGTGTCCCAAATCCGCCTGTCTTTAACTGTACTCATTATTCCACATGTAAAAAAGTCTAGTTCAAAACTACAGACTGAAGCTGAGCAGTGGGGGTGCATGCCTTTAATCCCAGCACTGAGGAGGCAGAGGCTAGGGGATCTCTGTGAGTTCAAGGCCAGCCTAGTCTACACAGTGGGTTCCAAGAGAGCCAGGACTACACAGAGAAACCCTGTCTTAAAAACAAAACAAAAGCAAGCAAAGAAACAAATAAAACCAAAAGTACAGAATGACCTGAAAATATTCACCTGGCAAGATATTTAAGGATAAACTCACAGCTCTGTTCCTCAATGATAGTTTTATTTTTATTGGTTGTGTGTGTGTGTGTGTGTGTGTGTGTGTGTGTGTGTGTGTGTACACATGAGGGCACACATATTATGGTACATATGCAGAGTCAGAGGACTTGTGATGAAATTGGCTGTCTCATTCCACTATATGGATTCCAAGGATTGAACTCAGAGTTTCTGGAGTGAGGACAAGTACCATTACCTTTTGAGCTAGCCTGCCCTAATTATCGCATCTTAAAAATATTTTCTATCATGTGCAGCACATGTCAGCTCACAGGATGTGCAGCCATTATCCTCATTTCACATTTTGGACAATGCTCAGAAAAGAAGCGGGAGTTAGTAAGACCTGGAGAGGACAGGAGCTCCACAAGGAGAGCACAGAACCAAAATATCTGGGCACAGTGGCCTTTTCTGAGACTGATACTCCAGCCAAGGACCATTCATAGATATAACCTAGAACCCTGCTCAGATGTAGCCCATGGCAGCTCAGTATCCAAGTAGGAGAACAGGGACTGTCTCTGACATGAACTCAGTGGTTGGCTCTTTGACTACCACACCCCCAAGGGGGGAGCAGCCTTGCCAGGCCACAGAGGAGGACATTGCAGCCACTCCTGATGAGACCTGATAGGCTAGGGTCAGATGGATGGGGAGGAGGACCTCCTCTATCAGTGGACTTGGAGAGGGCATGGGAGGAGATGAGGAAGAAAGGATGGGATTGGGAGGGAATGAGGGAGGAGGATACAGCTGGGATACAAAGCAAATAAACTGTAATTAATATAAAAATAAAAATTTAATTAAAAAATAATAAATATTAAGGTAAATAGTGGATTTGGGACCAGGACCCTACTGAGAGAGCAATTCCTAATTTTCACTTCTTCACTTTTACGTGACAGAGGAAAAATACACCAATTTATAAGAAAAATTGAGCTGAAATATTTCTGTCAGTAAAAAAAAAATCAACTGTAAAATAGGTCAAGGAACCTGTTCCCATGATATTTTATACTGAGCTTCCTTTAACTCCAAAGTTATCTTTGGAGCCAAGGTTTTAGTATCTTGAAAATACTAATAGTGACTTAGAGTGGAGCTACTTATTTTCACCTACAAAGGACAATCTTCTATTCACTGAATTCTTAAAATTGTCTCTGGACTTGACCATCTGACCACTGTATTAAGTGTCTCACAAACATCATTTTCAGAAGCAGGTAGAGTTCTTTCCTGGGTGCTCTCAGCACTGCGTGTGTACACACGAATAACAGCTTTCAGGATTTTTGTCTCCCGATCTACATATTGCTGTGTGCAGTTTCTGTCTCTTGAGCTTTTCTTAGTTGTAAAATTAGACAAAATCACAATATAGATTTTTTTAAACTGTTTAGATGAGTTTTCAAATCTTATTTTGATTTTCAGATATAAATAAATCTATAGGCCTCTTTCTACACATGTGAAAGCAGTATTTTATATACATGGAGAATTACAATTTTGCCTTTCTAACTGGGTTTCATAGATAGTGGAGATGTGCTAAGTGGATATTGATTCCTGCGCTGGGTTTCGGAAAAGGTGAGCACTATTTATAAAGCCCAAACTGAACACTAGGTGGCAGTCAAGCGGCATCTGGAAAGTTACCATGCACGCTCCAAATTTACGTTTTGTTGCTTGTAATTTTTGTTGCTTTCCTTTTCCTCCCTCACTCCCAACCCCAGTCCCTTCCCCGGGCCCAACTGCTGATTGAAACGTCAAATGGAATTCACTGAGTGGATAGGTCACAACACTTTGATAGTTGCGGCAGGCCCTGTAGTTGCATTAAAGTTGTTTGGGGGTATAGAGTGACAGGCTATGCTCTTGAGACAGATATATATTTGTTTATATTCATAGCCCCATGATTGAAAGAGAATGTGTATTTAAAAAATATTAGTTAAATGAATTCTCTTTACAATGAGCCTTTGGGAGGGACTGTGGCTTTAAAACAATCATCACTCTAAGTCTTAGAGTCTAAGAGAGCCCAACCTTAACGATTCAGGTGACACCTCCTCTGCTAGCTCTGCTCTCTACCTTCCCTTTTCTGTCAGGGCTACTCCTGTCTTTATCTCTTGCGGAATCAAGATAAATGTGTAAAAAATGTGCTTCTTTATTTCTGCACCCTGTCTCCTATGCATACGACCAGAACTTGCACACACGTGCTCTTATCCGCATCCAGCTGGAAACTTGGAAGCCTCTTCTGGAGCTGGCTTTGTGCTACAGGCAGGCTCCCCAACCCGTAGAGCTCTCTACCTCTCTGGCTTTCATGATCTCTTTCTTGATTCTTCCCTCAGTCCAGTTTCTCTCTCATGCTGTCCAATGTAGCTTTTTCTTCGTAAGCCAACTTTCTTATTGTTTTCTAGAAGGTGTATGATGTTCTCCTTCCTCACAGTTCTATTATGATATGTGACACATCATCCCTCAATATTGTCCTGTGTCACTGTGCTCTAACTGTGGCTCCCATGGTGCATCTCTCTTAACAAAGCTCATTTTCTGAAAGATAATTTCATGCTAGCTCTCAAGCCATCCTCCTTCTCTCCAGAACATACCCCCAGCTTCATGTAGTAACATGCCTGACATATTACCTCCTTATCGCTCTTGTTCGTCCCCGTGTTTCTCTTGTCTTCATCCTCTTTCTTTTTCTTTTCAGCGGCCTCTTTTTCCCTGAGAGAAAGGATCGGAAGAGACATTTCTACTAACGTGAAAAACTACCTCATTAGTTACGGGACTCACTTCTAAAACAGTTGTTATTCTGCTCAAGCTGTTGCTATGTGATTATGATATGATCTGGACCCCCAGCAGAGCCCCTGTTTCCTAAGACACTTACAGCTTTTCCTTGCACATGGCACACTTATTGCCATGAGTCTTGCCATCTGGACCCCGAGTAGGGTCACTTTCCCGTGTGCAGAGGAGTTTCCCGTTTTTCATTTGGCTTCTAAACTGATCACATACATCCTGAAGATAAATAAGGAAAGATAATCAGAAATGCTGTGCTTATCTGGTATTTTATTGGGTTTGAAAATCAGAAGATTTCCATTCAAAAGTCTGACAGCCACCTAACCTTGCTGAGGTCGGCAGGACTGTGACATAAGGACGTTCGTGTCTTAAGTTCTGGGGTAGGTAAATATGTTGCTCTTCAGTTATGGCTAAATGCAGAATTAGGAGTGCCCATCAGTTGTACTTGAAGTGAGGCCATTATTAGGGAGCATTGGAGAGAGTCATTGTAATCACAAGGGTTTGGGCTCAAGCAGAGGAATTGGTTTCAGTAGCACAGAGAGTCAGACTGGAGTAAGCATGCTGGATGAAAGGTGGCCACAAACCAATGAAGGCAGGTTGTTCCTGGATTTTGGAGACAGAAACACCCAATCCAGAGCTTCCACAGAGGAACACAACTAAACCAACACCTTGGTTTTAGTGGGGTCATTTAAAAAGTCTGAACTCCAAGAATATAGGGAAATAACTGTGAGCCAGTGTCTGTAGAAAGTTAGTAGCAGCAATATAAGATCCGGTGTTAGCTCTGATATCCTAAAAGGACACTGATATCCACACGGGCAGCTTTTTATGGCTTAAAGCAGAAAGCCCTGTCTGAACCTCAGCAACAACTTACCTTTTTTGCTGATGCAGTCCCATTTGATCTCGAGGCGGAATTTTTATTTTTTTCCTCCATTTCTCTCTGCCTATGAGAGAAAGGGTGGATAGTCATCTTGTTGGCACAAATGCAAGATGAGAGGGCCTGGGGGCATGTGTTCTCTTTCATGATGAGTGTCTCCACTCTTTGAGAGCCACATTATCAAGATTTCAGGAAAAGAAGCCCAGTCACCAGAAAAATGCATTATCAAATCATCTCACTACAGTCTTCACAATTAGTATCCAACCTCATCTCCAGTCTCAGTTCACATTACTAGAGCAGTGGTCCATAATTTTGAGATTATAATATTATTTCTTAAAGTGAACCTCAAGTAGATAAAGAAATAGCAAATATAAAAATATAAAGAAATAGCAAATTCAAACAAACTCAAGTCATAAATTTTTAACCAAGTTAATTATTAAAAATAGAGGGTGCCTGTAATGCTGTAGCATGGAGAAATTCTGATGCTAGTCATACCTCCAGTCAGAAACCACTAGTAATTGCCTGGGGAGATAGATCAGTTGATTAATTGTTTGCCTCACATACATGAGGACCAGAGTTCAAATACCCAGTGTCCATATCAAAAGCAGAGGTTGGTGGCAGATGCTTATAATCCCAGCAAAGGAGAGGTAGAGACAGGAGCATCTAATGAGGGCCACTGGCCATCCAACTCCAGGTCTCCCACCCACAATGTACACGTTAGATATGATAATAATACAGAGTGAACTCAGCTGTGTACAGAAGAACCCTCAAGTTCGTTCTTCAAGAGACCTCTAAGAAAGCCAGTTTCATTTTTCTCATTAGTAGAACGTTAGCAATTGAACAAGAGTTCATCACATAGCCTTCAGAAAAGTGAAGACTACATGAATTATACTTTATGGGTGGGAGGTGGACACTGCCTATTACCTAATCATGTAACACTTGAATGCCACAACCAAAAGCATCCGTACAAGTTCATGGTCACCTAGGACTATCTTAGTTTGTAGATGGGACTAGCAATAACTGTGTGACTGTCCCTAATATGAGGAATCAAAGTGGCTGAACTCTGCCATGAGATACTCTACTACCATTCAAGAAGGGAAAATAAATTGACGCAACAACTCCTGCTTCTGTAGTTGCGTGTGTGTCATATACCTGACACTGAGCCAGCTCCCTTAAACACTGGTCAGTTATTCCAAACAGCCGTCATTAAATCTCAATAGCTCAAGGCAATGAATAGCTTCCTATCATGATGACATTTAGAGGTGACAGAATTACAGTAGCAGACAGAGGAGAATCAGCCACTTGATTAAATGCTCCCCTTGGACTTATGTTCTCTAGGAAATAGAAGGGGGGGGAAGAACATTGAGATTAATAAAAAGAACTTTCATAGAGGGAGCCACGGAAAAGGAGAAAAGCCATTAATTCAGGGGAAATGCATGGCTATCTTTCAGACACTTGTTATGAAAAGGACTTACAGGAGTTCTTTGCACATGACACATTTATTGTTGTATGGTTTCCCGTCAGCACCACGCACAGGGTCACTCTCCCGAGTACAGCTGAGTTCTCCTTTTTTCATGCTTTCCCAATATTGACTGCATTCATCCTGAAAAGGGAGAAGAAAGCCAGCCACATAGTTAATATTGTATTATTACCAAGTTCAAGAAGCGGTCAGCATCGGAAAGACTCTTTCCTTTCACCCTTGCAAATATCTCATCACCTAGAGTTGCTGTCCACAGAGAAAAGGGGAAGGGCTAGAATCATCCATATTCTAATTACAAGGGGACAGTGCTCAGAGCTTTTGTTGTTGTTGTTTAAATATATAACCAGGGAAACTATAAAGTGGCTAAAGTCTGTTAGCACAGTTCGAGGGTCAGAAAACTGTATACCAAAGACCACATGTACATCTCTGCCTGCTCAGATGTGTAAGCCTCAGTGAAAGTCTTTGGGAGCAAAGAGATGACCTTCATCTCCCCAGGGCCATGAAGAAGTGAATGGGTGGCAGAAAGCTTGTGAAATGGTGCTATATCTCATGCGATAGTGTCATCCTGAGGCTGTAAAGTGTCTCAGATGTGCTCACCATACCCAAATTATTTTCCTCTCTTTCTTTAAGAAAACTTGAGATAAAAGCACTGAGGTGATTCATTCAAAGGTTCACAAGTCCATATGGTAAGGGCCCAAGTGTACAGACCTCATACTCTGTTCTGTTTTCTCATACTATTCTGCCTTGAAGAGTAGAGAAGATAATTCAATGATTTAGCCTCATCCACAATAATAAAAAACTGAAAGAAAGTGAAGATGCCAATGAGAATGAATATTGTCTCAAGGACTAGCATACTAACAAAGAGTCAGGAGACTGGGTTCACTGTCTTTAACTATTGCCACATCTAAAGAACCCAGAGTCCCAGGGCAGCGGGGAAAAAATGCTAATGACTTACTCTATAGGCTGAGGTGGAAGACTGTGTTCTTCAAGGACTTGTTTGGTCTCGGCACTCCCTGTGTTTCCCTTTACCTTGTGCCCTGGCAGCGAGTTCAGCCTATTCTGTGGAAGTCAGGGCTAACTCTCACCTTAATCTTCAGGCGCCCTCCGCTGGAACTGTGCCCTGAAGTGATTCTCTGATTTTCCCCTTCTTTCTTCTTTCTTTCTTCATTTTCTTTCTCACTACAAGTTAGAAAGCAGAAGGAATACTAGCTTACCAGAGGAAGAACGTATTTCTACGAACTTACCAAATACCTCATTTGAATCTAAATGGAATTTATTAGTGCTTATTTAACATATCTTATAGACCCTCTTCTCTGAAAATATCCTAGATGGATTATGTGGAGTCCTATGCTTGGCAAAGTTTCCATCATACTTAGAGAAAAACAACATATGCCTAACTACCAGCTAATCAGTGTTTCCTAAAATGTTTGCTCAGGACTTTGAATTTTATTATTTTTTTTTCATGTTCAAAAGGACTCAAAATTAACAATTTTTTTTTAACAAGCACGATCTTCCTCCTATAATTTTTGCTTTTCAAAATCAAAACACTGATATCACCTTCAACTCCATTCCTTCTCCCAGTTTGCATAGCTGTTGCCCGTTAACATTTCTCATGATGGGCTACATCTGTGCAGGGGTCTTAGGTTATCTCCATGCATAGTCCTTGGTTGGAGTATCAGTCTCAGGAAAGACCCCTCTGCTCAGATTTTTTGGTTCTGTTGCTCTCCTTGTGGAGTTCCTGTCCTCTCCATATCTTACTAGTTCCCACATCTTTCCTAAGATTCCCTGCATTCTGCCCAAAGGTTGCCCATAAGTCTCAGCATATGCATTGATAGTCTGCAGGGCAGAGCCTTTCAAAGGTCCTCTGTGTCAGGCTCCTGACTTGTTCCCTCTTTTCTCCTTCTGATGTCCATCCTCTTTGCCTTTCTGGATAGGAATTGAGCATTTTAGCAAGAGTCCTCCCTCTTGATTAGTTTCTTTAGGTGTACAGATTTTAGTAGGTTTATCCTATATTATATGTCTATATGAGTGAGTATATACCGTGTGCATCTTTCTGCTTCTGGGATGGCTCACTCAGGATGACCTTTTCCAGATCTCACCATTTACCTGCAAATTTCATGATTTCCTTGTTTTTTTTTTAATTTTATTTTATTTTTATCAGTTACATTTTATTAACTCTGTATCCCAGCTGTGTCCCGATCCCTCATTCCCTCCCAATCCCACCCTCCCTCCCTCATCTCCACCCTGCCCCTTTCCAAGTCCACTGATAGGGGGAAACCCCTCCCCATTCATCTGATCCTGTTTTATCAGGTATCTTCAGGACTGGCTGCGAAGCCCTCCTCTATGGCCTAACAGGACTGCTCCTCCCTTGGGGGGTGGGGAGGTCAAAGAGCCAGTCATTGAGTTCCTGTTAGAAATACTCCTTGTTCCCCTCACTATGGGAAACCAATTGGTTGCTGAGCTACCATAGGCTACATCTGAGCAGAGGTTCTAGGTTATATCCATACATGGTCCTTGGTTGAATGTCAGTCTCTGAAAAGACCCTGTGCCCAGATATATTTGGTCCTTGTGGAGCTCCTATCCTTTCCCCATCATACTAACTCCCCTTCTTTCATAAGATTCCCTGTACTCTGCTGAAGGTTTGGTCATGAGTCTTTGTATCTGCTTTGAAAACACTGCTAGTGAAATTTTCAGGCAAATGGTGGGATCTAGAAAAGATCATTCTGAGTGAAATATCCCAGAAGGAGAAAGACACACACGGTATATACTCACTTATATAGACCTATAAGATATGACAAACATAATGAAATCTATACACCTAAAAAAGATAATCAAGAGAGCACACATGGGGTAAGATGATCAATCCTCGTTTAGAAAGACAGATGGGATGTGCATTGAATGTATGACAGGAGTCTACCGAGCACATCTGAAAAATTTCCTTGTTTTTTATTGTTCAGTATCCAAGTGGGTTCCATTGCAATGGACTGTCTCTGACATGAACTGATTGGCCTGCTCTTTAATTACCTCCTCCTGAGGGGGAAGCAGAATTACCAGGCCCCAGAAGAAGACACTGCAGCCACTCCTGATGAGACCTAATTGACTAGGATCAGAAGGAAGGAAAAGAAGACCTCTCCTATCAGTGGACTTGGGGAGGGGCATGTGTGAAGGGGGAGGGAGGGTAGGATTGGGAGGGGAGGAGAGAGGGGCTTATGTGGTGATACAAAGTGAATAAAGTGTAATTAATAAAGAATTTTAAAAAAACATTTCTCTGTCATCACCTGCCTTCACCTGGACTTGTGTCTTCTTTCTTCTTCTAGTGGTCCTTCACTGAATAATGGCAACCTACCAATGCCCTCACACCAGTAGCATTCAGAATGTTAGACTCTCTGCTTTCCTTTTTCTTCTATTGATCACTGCTGTTTGCGTTTTCCTCAATAAATCATATTTCTACCATTTCCTCTCCTAACTGAAACATTTCTGAAGAAATGACATCTGATGTCATTCTGTAGAAATGACATCAAAACACTTTGGTTTGATACTGAACATTGGTAAAGTTCCCAAGCTCCAGGCATTTGTTTCTTACGTACTACAGCTTTCTTAATTTAGACCTCATGCAGTTCTGGTCTTCTCTCACATGGCCCTGCCATTTGTATACCCAAATGATAAGACCCAGGTCTATTTCCACCTGAAGCTTTCTATTAGCTGCCCCTTCACTGATGTACCACAGCCAGTTATGAGCACAGCTTTTCCAAAGACACCCTCCTTTCATCTCATTACCTTATATCCAGACAACAGGAAGTGGACCATTTGCACCCCATAGGGCTCAAGCGAGTGAATGAGGGTGTTATATATAAAAAAACAAAACAAAACAACAACAACAACAACCAAAAAAACCCCAAAAAACCCACTTGGCAATATTAAAGGTTTCTGAACGTGTGGTGATCAAAAATTAATTCCCAATGAAACAGGCAGTGAATCCCCATCATTGACCATATTGCATCATGGGACTTCACTGCGGCATTTGTTTTGAACATACAATATGTACACTTTTCACTGTGTGTGGTGTCAGCCACTCAGTGCCATAGAAAATTGACTAGTAGCTCAGCTCAGGTTCAAAACTAGTACAGGTTATGAACTGAAGTGCTTCTGTTTCTTCGTGCATTGAAAGTTTTGTGTTTCTACAGGCACACAAGGACTTAATTATGAGAACTAAAGACTTTCAATTTTCTCCGACCATCATTCTTCAGTACAGATGGAGCAAACTAGTTCAACTTTTGATGGCATTATATTAGAATGTTTGAGTGCAGAAATTACTCTATGAGTTGCTGACTTATATTTCATAAAATAATTTTTCAAATAAAATTTGCCTTCAGATTAGGATAGAATGTTCAACAATTTCTGAAATGACTTCAACCATACTTCTAGCATTTAATATTACATATTTAAGCAAAACTGCATTTTCAGCATTGATGCTATAAAATCAAAATATTAATCAACTTTGAAAAAATTTTTAAGATGGTTTGTGTCCTGTACTATAAGATATTCAGCCAAGATTTAATTCTAAATTTACAACTGAACAACACCACACATTCATTTGATTTTCTCTAATTAAATACATTGTAAATAATTATTTTATCTGAAGTTCTTTATGATAGTTGTAGGTTTGATTTGTGTATTTACTTTACAGATTCAGATGTGCAATCAATCTTTCTCAGTGAAAAGGGGTTGTGAGTGGCAAAGATGTTAAGAAACCCTCAATTGTTTTGAGAGGCCTTACTTATGTTTATTTCCTGGAATATGATATTTCCAAAAATACAGTACACAGTGACCAATAGAGCTCGTGCATTTTCTTCCTAATCGGAAGTCTAAGATGAAGCATAGAAGGTATCTGCTTGCCTGTCCCACTTTTCTCACTCACAGTAGCTGCTGCGTTTGTGTATCTCACAATGTTATGTCTGTGCAGTCAGCATGCTTGCTGCCTCTCACACTCTCCTGACTCTTCAGCGGCAAACGCAACGTGTGTCTCATGTGCAGTCTGCATGCTGGCTGCTCTACCACTTCTCGGACTCAAGGTGGGAACTGCGCCCGCCTTGTGACTCATACTCACAAGACAGCCTTGCACATGGCACATTTGTTGCCATGGGTCTTGCCATCCGGGCCACGCACGGGGTCATTTTCTCGTGTGCAGAAAAGTTCTCCACCTTTTAAAAGACTCAGGAACTCACTGCAGTCGACCTAAAAGAAGAGAATTGCAAGGCTCTAAATATTTTCTTTGATATCGCTTTGTTGGCTTCTTATTCAGCACTTTCTGGGAGAGGAAAAATGATCGGAGTATTTTCCCACCTCTGGCGAATTTAGCGTGCGATTCCTACCAAGAACCCTGGACATATGGAAGGCTTTTTGGTTTGTCTGCTTTGAAACCGAGCTCTGAATCCACATGCAGATAAGATTCTCTTAATAAACTGCATAGTCCTTTATGTGTTTTACCTGTATTTCTTTCCTCTATAAGTATGCGTGCGTCTGTGTACAAGACTCATGAGTGAAGATTAGAGGGCACCTTACAGGAGTCAGCTCTCCCCTTCCACCATGTAGATCCTTGACACTGGACTCATAGCCAGGCTTAGTGGCAAGCGCTTTTACTGCCTGAGCATCTCACTGCCTTTAGAATGCATTTTCTGAGCACTGGACACAATCTCTGTTCTTTCATAATGCAATAAAGACAGCATGCATATCATAAACTCAAACAGTTTTGTGTTTTGAAGAAAATGTCAGTGTTCATCTGTCATCCATATTCTCTCCATCCCTTTTACATAACACATAACAAGGATATTTAACAATTTCTAGTGAGAACTGAAGCTATTTCATTAACTTCCAGATGGTTCATCCCCAAATAAAATTTCTACCAGATAGTTCCAATGACTTAGCTACAGAACTACTTTGGGGGTATTGTGAAAAAAAAAAAAACCTAACAAATTTTATAAGATTCCTACATTTGAGGCCTATTTTCCTAAACTAATAAAATATGAATATGTTCATTGAGACCAGTATATGAAAATGAAATATTTTATGTCCTTCCGAAAAGTCAGAAATATTTTCCTTCTTCCAAATTATATTCCTTCTAATATTTGGAAAAATGCTTTCCCTTTCACCTCAACAACTGTTTAAGTGAATTTACTAAAATAACTTATTTGGTAACCTCCACTTCTGGCTCAGTGGATAGACATAATCTGCTATCTGCTCAACCACCTTGGAAGGACTATATAAGACAAGGAGTCACCTGTAAGTTCTCATCTGGAAATGACTCCATGTTTCAACTCTGCAGGTAAGCTGTTTCCTTGTAGTGATTCCCCGTGTCTCATTGGGCCTGCCAGCTGGGCCTTCACCTTTCAGGTTCTTTCTATTTGAGCCTCTAATCAAGTCAGCAGGGACTTTCTGCTGAGGCTGGAGAAGGTAACTGGAATTCGGCAAATTCCCACCTCTATTTTACAAGTGTCTCTTTGGTATCCTTAAAAGCCACATCTACAGAGATGTCGCTTGACTGATGTGACATGTTCCTAGCTGAGAAAACAGTGGCAAGCTTAGACTGGAACAGAATGTACCCACAACTGCATCTTAGGAAAGCTGAATCTCCTATGCCTCTCGATATTATTTCTCAAGTGCCTGTATGCGCAGACACTGCAGGTTTTCTGTTTATCACATGATTTCAACATGATCTGTTATGCTTGAGTCTCTTCTTTTTCCGGGGAATGTAGAATGGCGTCCCAAATGTTGCCTGGCAAGCACTACTCTGTATATGGCTACATCATGGTGTTAGAATTCCAGTGTTCTAGCAAGAAAGCTTAAATGAGGGTTCTTGCCACTCTTTGGTCAAATTTCCTCATCTATAAAATGGATGTAAGAATATCCTTCATGATTTAAATAACGGTCAATATGCATCAATATTTGTAAATGCTTAGTGATTATCATCTAGAACATGTTCAACAGATGCTAGCTCTAAAATATAAAGTAATTGAATAAACAAATCATTTAATATCATAGGGTTAATTACTGATGACAAGTGATTTTGTATTTCTCCTAACATTCTTGTCTCAAGTTAAAATTCAATAATAATAAGAGAATATATTTCCCATAAAACTCTTCTCTTTTTCACTATTCACTACCAGATCCCTTGACTAATCATAATTAAAACAATACAGGCAATAAATCTTGCCTTCTGAAGCCAATATGAAAGAGCAAACTTCATTATACTGAAGGACTTTCTCTTGAAGACATTGGAAACTTAATGTGTTTTATGCATAAAACACAAATGTTTTTGTTTGCTTGTTTATGTGCTTAAGTAACTTTTTTTATTAACTGAAACATAAAACTATTACAAGATTTACAAATTCCTTTAAATCACAAAAAGGATAGGGGACATTTTAATAGAGAAAGGAAAAACAAAAGGTAATCTTTTTTTCCTAAGAAGGTATTTTTTTAAAGTTCAGATTCACAGTTGCTTGCAATTCAGTCTTTAGCAAGTACTCCTATAGGTTCACAACTCAGTGGTTCTTCAGAGGTTTGATTTTAGTGCTCATGGCCTTTGATGGGTGCAGAGAAATTACCATGGACTGTAATCACTTACCTTGAGTTAGTCATTCTGAACCACCAAAAAATAATTTTTAGGGATGCTGAATTTTAAAAGTGTCTTCCCATAGGTGACAATCAGAAAAAGAGAATTTTAGAAGGAATGCTGGGTTTTGGGGTCAGGATCTTTACATTTAAATTCTATTCTGAGGAGTTGAAGGAGAAAGGGTGGGGTTGGGAGAATGAGGGAGGAGGATACAGCTGGGGGTACAAAATGAATAAACTGTAATTAATATAAAAATAAAATTGAAAAAAATTAATTCTATTCTGTTCTGTTTTCTTTTTTTCTTTCCTTGCATTTTTCCCCTATAAGAGCTTTGGAATATGGATGTTAATACCACTAAAACACTAATTTTGTAATAAAATTCTCCCTTCTCTCTAGGTTTAAACTTTCATTACACAGTCTGAGAATGAAGCACATATGAAGCTGTGTACCGTGATCAAAATCTGGTCACCTGTTGCCCATGACCCTGATATTTATACACACACACACATACTCTGGCTATTAAGAACAGGACTTGGTGCCAAGATGGCTAATTATAACTAAGGATGTATGATTAAAGTCTTCATGGAAACCTACTGCTTAGTAAGCTAATTTAAATATACAATTAGAAAAAAAAGTCTTGTTAAACTCTAGACTATATAACATCCAAGTTTCCTCCCAGCCAGGGTCTTCAGTTATTCTATGTGTAATGTTTACAGCAAAATGGCAAAGCTTGATCTTTCCATGTGGTTTAAGCATCCCAGGATAACTACCTTAACTTCTCTTTTAACCTTTGCGATGAAACCAGCTTCATTTTCCTTTGCTTCTTGCTGGCTACAAGAGAGAGGTGGGAAAGAATTATTTCTAGCACCAATGCGTAGCATCTTAAAGAGGAAAAAAATCTCAGAATATCTTATTACTTCTACATCTCTATAGGTTTATGTTGCTGTTCTTCCTTTTAGCATTGCTTGTAAAATTAAAACATAAATGCCACCACAAACCAGCAAACACATATTCCACTATTTTTCGACGCCTAAAGGCTTGTCTTTCCTCCCAGAAAGCAACTAGAAAAATGATTAAGTATTAACACAATTTCAGCTTGTTATTATCTAATGAGTCCACTTTGCTTTTGTAATGGCAGTGACCTATAAACATAGAGAAATCAAGATCCAGCACTTTTCTGCCATCAACTCTGGGAGATCTGGTTTTAGCACATGATCCTAACATGACATATCTTTCATTTACATATCTTTCAGGACACTGAAGCAGTAGGAAGAGAGTGCCTGTCAGTGTGTGGCTTCATGGTAAGAGATCCCCAAACTAAGCACAAAGAAAGGCAGGCTTCATTGTCAACGTCCTGGAGCAACCTGCCAATGTTACCCCACATCTGACACTCAACAGTAGTGGCTGCAGCCGTACTCACAAGAAGGCTTCACACATGGCACAGGTGTTTTCATGGATCGTCCCATCCAGGCCCTCAGTGGGTTCTCTCTTTCTGGTGCAGGGAAGTCGACCATTTCTTACCTGGGGACGGTATTTGCTACATAGTTCCTGTCAAAGGAAGGAGGATTTGAGAGCCTGATCACTAAACACTGCAAAACTTCCCCACCTCACTCCCTTTGAAAACTGATGTCGAGCAACAAAATAGCACAAAGTGATGTCAGATATCAGCTTTAGCCGATACTCTGTTCACGGGCTTACAGAACACATTATTTGGAACATAAGATTGCCACTATTATATTAAAATGATTAGAAAATATTCAACTTAAACATTATTTTGGCATGGTAACTACGAGAGACAAAAGGAATAATAAGATAGTGTCTTTGATGGGTAAAGGAGTTTATAGTATGCAGAATAATGGCTGCTTTTAATCCGTAGCTCTCATATAAAATGCTAAGCATGTCTGGGTAAGCCTGTAACTCCAGCGTTGGGGGAAGAGGGACAGGCCGATCCCCAGGATCTTGTGTCCGGCTAGCCTACCTGGCTTAAAGGGAAAGCTTCCGGGACTGTTAAGGACCCTGTCAAAGAACAGTGGGTACGGAAGTGATAACTGTCCTGCTCTGGCTCCACTTCCCCATATAGGAGATGCACAACCATACACTCAAATGGAGGCACCCAGCTATGGACACATACACGAACACACGTGTACACACATATACACTTATATACTCAAATACATGCCACAACACACACACTCAGAGAAAGAGAGAGAGAGAGAGCGCTACTGCCACCACCACCACCACCACCACACACAAAGGAGATAGTTCAAGTAAGGAAATACTACAGCAAAGGAGTATATGAAAGCTTGAAGTCCAACGTGTAGAACATCAGAAAATGAGATAAGGATAAATAAATATAATATGGAAGACAATTTTTTAGACATGAGGATTCAAACGTATGTTTCCACTTGGCAAAGCCATTAAGGATGTTGAAAGTGGTGATTTGGTCTAAAGAGAATGATGACTGCGCATGTGCGTGCCCGATGACCTGGAAGGGATACCTGTATTGCTTCTCTCTTCGTCTTTCCAGCCTCAACCATCTCATTCCCTCTTTTGTCAGCTTTTTTCTCTTCCTCTTCTACTAGGCTGCAATAGAAGACACAAACTCAGCTCAGTTTTTCAATTACTCTGATATGTTTCCAGAAGAAATAGAATGTCCCCAAACCAAATATCAGAATTCTTCTAGACATTAGATCAGGGAGATGGCTTAGCATGTAAAAGTGTTTTTTGTGCACGCCTGATGAGCTGAATTCAATTCCTGGAACCCATCATGGAAGAAAAGAAATAACTCCAGAAAGTTGTCTTTTGGGCTCTATATGTGCACGTGGCACAGACACACACACAGACAAAATGATGATGATGATGTTGATGAAAATAAATACATAAAACTTTTCAGAACAAAAAGGATTTGTTCTAAGAGGTGTGATTGTTTTGGACAGCATGCAAATAAAGGCTTCATCACACTTCTCATAAAGTAATAACAATGACAAAATAACACATTTTTATTAATATGTAATAAATAAATTTGCACATAATGTTTTCTTTTGTAAGCCATTGATGTCTTAGGAATAGTGATACCAAAAGATCCAGCGGTACCACTCCTAGGCATATATCCAAAAGATGCTCAAGTATACAACAAGGACATTTACTCAGCCATGTTCATAGCAGCTTTATTTGTAATAAAAGCTGGAAATAACCCAGATGTCCCTCAGTTGAAGAATGGATACAGAAAGACACACATAGCGTATACTCATAGATAAGTGGATATTAGACATATAATGTAGGATAATCATACTAAAATCTATACACCTTTAAGAAGCTAATCAAGAAGGAAGACCCTGGATAAGATGATCAATTCTCATTCACAAAGGTAAATGGGATGGACATCAGAAGAGGGAGAAAATAGGGAACAGGACAGGAGCCTACCACAGAGGACCTCTGAAAGACTCTACCCTGAAGGGTATGAAAGCTGGGGCTGAGACTCATAGCCAAACTTTGGGCAGAATGCATGAAATCTTATGAAAGAAGTGGGAGACTGAAAGATCCGGAGGGGACAGGAGTTCCACAAGGAGGGCAAAAAAAAAAAAAAAAAAAAAAAAAAAAAAAAAAAAAAAAAAAAAAAATCTGAGCACAGGTATCTTTTCTGAGACTGATACTCCAACCAAGGACCATTCATGGAGATAACCTAGAACCCCTGAACAGATGTAGCCCATGGAAGCTCAGCGTCCAAGAGGGTTCCCTAGTAATGGGAACAGGGACTGTCTCTGTCATGAACTCAGTGGACTGATCTTTGATCACCTCCCCATGAGAGGGGAGCAGCCTTACCAGTCCACAGAGGAAGAGAATGCAGCCACTCCTGATGAGACCTGATAGACTAGGATCAGATGGAAGAGGAGGAGGACCTCCCCTATCAGTGGACTGGGGGAGGGGCATGCGTGAATAAGGGGGAGGGAAAGTGGGATTAGGAGGGGAGGAGGGAGGGGATTACAGTTGGGATACAAAGTGAATAAACTGTAATTAATAAAAAATAAATAAAATTTTAAAAGCCATGATTATCTTGATTTAAAATCTCAATCATGAAACTTTTTCTCCCAAGTAACTATGATATTATTGATGCTAACAAGGAATGATGCTAAGTCAGTTGATGGACTCACCATAACAGAAACAATTCTTCACTGTCAAATAACAATTCAAATATTTTTACAGAGTTAATTACATTACAGTTCAATATTTAGTAGTAGCCATGGTAGCCCAAAAAGACTCAACAGTGAGTTTTATAAGGTCCATCAAAAGTCAAATATTCTAGGTTTTGCTTTGTTTTTTGTTTTTGTTGTTGTTTTGAGAAAATGTCTTGCCATATATCCTAGGCTGGCCTTAAACTTATTACCTTCCTGCTCTGGCCTCCAAAGTTCTGAGATTAAAGGTGGACCAGCAAGCCTTCCCCCTGCTCTTGTCATTTTCTATGATATATAACATACCAGTAGAAAATTGTTATAATTCACCATATCTAATCATCACCATCAATGAAACAACACGGTTATTTCATGAATCTTAGGCCATTATTTATTCTATTGATCTACTTACTCTAAGTTTCTTTTCAAAATGAATTATAAACATATAGTTAAGGATGGAGCAATCTGTGAAGACAGAGATAATTGATAACTTTGTATTTTGTATAAATATACTTTGAAGATAAGGGGAGCAGACGGATGCGGTGCAGAATTCTAGGTTCTAATTTGTAGATAAACTTTCAACATTATTGTGAGGTGACTCTCGGAAAGAGATTAGTTTTATGCTTAACCTCAAGAGGTAGCTGCTGAATCTTAATGGGCTGAGATCACGACTGGAACAGGACACCTTCTATATTGTCCCACATGAGAGAACGCTGGCAACAGCTTCACCCACAACACTCAGCCAAAGAACGTCCTAGAAGGCCTGGACTAGCTTGACAGACAAAAGTTATTGTACATTTAAGTTCATGAGCTTGTCTCTTAGGGGCTTCACTCTCCACTTACTAAGGCATGCCTTTCACTGGCAGAGAGTTAGGATATCCTAAAAAGAAAAAATACAGTGTTCTCTATTCTACTAATTGGTATTTTAGCAGTCCTGTACCCTGGCCCCACAGTTACCCACACAGATTTTTTTTATAAACGGTATCTGAATAAATTCACAGAATCGTGGACTATCAGAGGTGGAGCAAGGAAAAAGAAAGCACCGGATCCAACCTGAGACTTGTACTTTCTCTTTGTTGTAAATTAAGACAGTCTGGTACTATACACATTTAGTGCTGAGTCTAACCACTTGACATAATTAGAAGACAGAAGGATATGTGAACAGAAAATGACTTCACCTTGTTATTCAATATTGCTTAATATTATGTCCATCAACTTTTGAGATTTTTCTAGCAGACAATCCATGGTGCATCTTGGAAGGCAAAGACATGAGGGTGCATACTCACAACACACTGGCACACATGGCACACTTATTTGCATGTGTTTTTCCATCTGGGCCAACAACAGGGTCGTTTTCCCTGGTGCACATGAGCATTCCATTCTTTGCTTGGTCCCGGAACTCACTGCACATTTCCTGGAAAATGAAAAAGATGCATCTTTTTTTTTTATTTTTTTCTTATCAGTTACATTTTATTAACTCTGTATCCCAGCCGTGTCCCGATCCCTCATTCCCTCCCAGTCTCTCCCTCCCTCCCTCATCTCCACCGTGCCCCTTGCCAAGTCCACTGATAGGGGGAACCTCCTCCCCATTCATCCGATCCTGTTTTATCAGGTAAGATGCATCTTAAGTTGGTGCTTCTCTTGTATCTTTCCTTACTATGAGAAATAAATAATGTTCGGTGATTCAAGAGAATTTTAGAGAGAAATGATAATGTTGCAATAAATCATTAAGAACAAAGTTCTTATCAAGAGCTCATATGAACAATGATTTACTCAGATTGTAAAGAAAAGTGAAACCACAAGGGTGAATGATGGTACAGAAAAAAAAATTATACTGAATGAGGTCAACTTGGGGCCTGAAAGACAAATTCTGCATGTCATCTTTCATATGCGGATCATAGCTTCAAACATATTGTTTCACATGTATAATTAAGTTGGATCAAAAAAGAAAGCAGGTAAACAAAAAGGGGCCTTTGTCATGAGTACAACTGAGGGAAAGAAACAGTGGATTGTAGGTAAAGCAGAAGGAGAGAGGTTGAGTAGTGATGGTGAAAAGGCTTTGTAAGGAAAGGGCACAGCAAACCAGGGAGTAGGGGAAGGGATAAATCCAAGGAAAGTTGTGTGAAAAGCCATATGAAAGCCTATTACTTCACAACCCAATGAAACATGTAATTGGAGGAATAGAATACATGAAATATGAGAAAGTATGGTAGATTACTTGGTGTTAAAGAATTAGGCAGGCAGGGGAGCTAGAAATAAGATTGAGGAGAGGCAGGTGTAACAGGTGGGTTAGGCACAACTAAATGTGCATGAGAAAGCTTTATAGAAACCCACTTGTATCCCTGATCTCTCCAAAACTTTAAATGTGAACAGGTGTTGAATTTTATCAAATGCTCTGTCAGCATCTAAGGAGATGGTCATGTGGGCTTTTTTTTTCAGTTTGTTTATGTGGTGGTTTACATTGATAGATTTCCATATATTAAACCACCCTTGCATGCCTGGGATGAAGCCTACTTGGTCGTGGTAGATGATATCTTTTATGTGCTCTTGGATTCAGTTTACAAGTATTTTATTGAGTATTTTTGCATCAATGTTCATAAGCAAGATTGGTTTGAAGTTCTCTTTCTTTGTTGGGTCTTTGTGTGGTTTAGGTATCAAGGTGACTGTGGCCTCATAGAATGAGTTTGATAATGTTCCTTCTGTTTATATTTTGTGGAATAGTTTGAAGAGTATGGCGTTAGCTCTTCTTTAAGACCATCCTGAGTAAGGTAACCCAGAAGCAGAAAGACACACATGGTATATACTCACTTATAAGTGGATATTAACCACATAATATAAGATAAACAATACTAAAATCTATAGTCCTAAAGAAGCTAAGCAACAAGGAGGACCCCAGGTAAGAGCCTGAAACCTCACTCAGAAGGGAAAACAGGATAAACTTCAGAAGTCAGAGAAGACAAGGAACAGGACAAGAGCCTTCCACAGAGAGCCTCTGAAAGACTACCCACCAAGGTATAGAAGGAGATACTAAAACTCATAGCCAAACTTTGGGTAAAGTGCCAGAAACCTTACAGAAGAGGGAGATAGAAAGACCTGGAGGGGACAGGAACCCCACAAGAAGAACAACAGAGTTAAAAACCTGGGCACAGGGTTGCCAGACCTGCAGAGACCAATACTCCAACCAAGGACCATGCATGGAGAGGACCTAGACCACCTGCTCAGGGGAAGCCCATGGGCTTCTCAGTCTCAAAATGGGTTCCATAGAAAGGGATATAGGGGCTGTCTCTGACATGAGCTCAGTGGCTGGCTCTTTGCTCCCTTCCCCCTGGGGGGGGGGGTGTCGCCTTGCCAGGCCACAGAGGAAGATGATGCAACCAGCCCTAATGAGATTTGATAGGCTAAGGTCAGATAGAGGGGAAGAGGTGCTAACCTTTCAGGGGACTAGGGAAAGGACATAGGGGGAGAAGAAGGAGAGTTAGGGGGACTAGGAAGAGAGGAGGGAAGAAGCTACCATGGGGATACCAAGTGAATAAATTGAAATAAATAAATAAATAAGTAAATAAATTGATTAAAGAAAAGTAAAAAGAGGAACCCACTAAGCTAATTTCAAAACACAGCATTTTACAAAAAAAAAAAAAAAAAAAAAAAAAAAAAAAAAAAAAAAAAAA